AAATGTTAAAAAGAAATAAAGATAATTACCATATTCTCCTAGTAATTTATAATTACTATATTCTCCTTGTAATTTGTGACTACCATTTTCACCTTTTATTTTATTTTTCGGTACTTTTTTTTGTATCTTATTCTTAAATCTTAAAACTAGAATCAACGCTATTATAGTTGTTCGAACATCGATTCGAGCTTTGGTGGTAACTTTTTGGATAAAAAGTACAAGTTCGGGTAACGGAACAAAATCTTCAAAGATACGTTTAGGATGAGTTGGAAGTTCTAATATTCCACATAAATTTTCCGCAAAAAAGTCTAGAAAAAAAGAAAGAAATAAATAAATAAATGATAATAAAATGAATTTTTATAATCGATACTTTAATAACTAATAATTAAAGTAATAATTAAAGTAATAATAAAAGTGAAATAATTACCAGTACAGTGAGAAGGTAAAGGCCTGTAGGTTTTACCATTCTCTTGATTATTATCAACTTCATCGTTATAATGAGATTGAATACTAGTATCAGAGTTTTGAAAAGTATAACCAGTATCGTGCGAGTTATCGTAACAACAAGTCATTTTTTTTTTTATATTTCGTCGTGATTTTTTGAAAATATGTATCGTTGTAAAGAAAAGAAATAAGGTTCGAAGAGTATAATAAAGAAGAGAAGAACTTCTAAAGAAGTCAACGAAGAAAAACAAAAATTTTTGTTTTGACAAAAAATTATTAAAATGGTAAAATGTAATAGTATTTTTGTTTTTTTTTTTTTTATTTCTTTCAAAATGAGATTCTGTTCCGGTTTATATATCAGATAGATATAATATAATATATTTTATTATTAAATGGTATTAATGGTATTAATTTTAAAATAAACTATATAAATTAAAAAATTTTTTTTTATATAGTGTACTGTGAATTCGTTTTGAAAAAAAAAGAAGGGATAATATATAAATATCTATATGGCCTCAAAAGATGCGGATTTATTTGTATGCAATCAAGTGGAGCATATGATTTCGAGTAACTTGAATATTATAAATTATAGTAATATAAAAAAAAAAAATTTTTTTTTCTGGTAAGAAAAAAAA